TGAAAAACTCGATACTGCATATCACTTTTTAACAAGAAACTTTATAACTTTTATATGAAATATTTTTTTTGTCTTTAATCGTTTTCAAGAAAAATATAATGAATTTTCATTATATTTCATTCTGTATAATATATTATATTCATTCTGTATAACTAATATTAATTATCTTGGAATCTTTGATCTTTGCATTTAAGATTATCTTTCTATTATGACCTTTTTCTATCTTTTTCCATTTTTAATTTATTTCATTTTTTTTTACTATTAAAATTATTGCTAACTTCATTTCCCAATCGTTGCAGTTGAATTGAATTATTATCAATTTTAAGTTTTTATTTTTAAATTTGTAATAAAATTTGTTAAAAAGTAGGTTTTTATATTTAATACTTTTACATAAATAAACAATTATTTGCAGTTATTATTTGCAATATTTATAATTCTCCACTAAAAAATTAAAGATGTGATAATTTCTATGTGTATGAATATATTTGTCAAATATTAATATTTTGTATTGATGATATTCTTTCTCTTTATGTACGTAACTTCCATACCTTCAGTGTTACAACTTTTTTAATAATCCTGTAATATCTGTTGGACAAATAAATAAGATATTAAAAATATTTTGACATATAGATTAGCAATCGTAACAAAATTGTTAAAATTAAATAACAGTTTTATCAATGTATACTATAGAAAGAATGTATGTATATAAATTTGTAAAGTAAATATAAAAAAATCAACAATTCGACTGATTTAATAACTTAGTAATATATATTTCCGAAACAATGACCATCTAAATTTGCACAATAATCGAAACGCTTTGAAAAATAACTGTAATTATATCTTAACTAAAAATTTTAAATAAATTTTTTTCATGGAAATGATCGTCTGTATCATATTCTGTAATATATTTTATCATTGAGCTATACAACTAACTTTTTGATTGTTATAATATTAATTTTTAAAATTTAGAAATGTATATTTTTTACATTATATGCTGATAAAAATAGAAAAATTTTTTCAAAAGGATTGTTTTTATTCTGTAATATTTAATTTACACATTATAATATAACAGTTATTTAACTTTTTTTTTTATTCATTTCCTGACATAATTATTCTGGCCAATATTAATATGCGACATTGATAGTTCAATTTAAAAAAATTTATAAATTATTCCTCTGAATATTGATTATCTTAATAATACAATTTATATTAAAATTCTCTCTATTAATAAGATTATATCATAAAGATATTTTTAAAGATATTTTTTTCTTATGAAAGTAATCTTAATATGAATTTATAATTTTGAATTTAATTTATTCAAGTCAAAGGTCAGATTTAGTACTGTCGTACGTAATTTGAAGAATATATCTCGCGAGAATCAGAATTACGAGTAGAATGGAAACACACACGCTTAGCTTTCTTCAGAACGTATTTACTTCGGAATAATCAATCAGTTGCCAGTGCAATAATATATAGTTAGAAAGCAGTGAAATAAACTTTTTCCTCTTTCAAAAAGAAATAAAGGCAATTTTGATTTTTTTCTTTACGCCGAAGCCTGTAATCTTCGCAACTCGCACTTATTTATGCCGCTCGAAAGCCCGCTCGAAGCGCGAAACTCGCAAAACAACCATTCCGACATTCAATCCCCTGCTTTCCGACGTAGTTGAAAAAGTTAACGCGATTAAAGGTGCGATTAAAGGTGCTTTGTTACACAGGAATCCCAAACTCTCTCTCTCTCTCTCT